ACTGCTCATGTGCCCTTCCTTCATCAGCTTGTCCATCATCTCACTTGATATGCCACCCTGGCTACCGGAAAAGCTGCCACTGTGGTGGCTTCCAGAAAAGCTGAAGTGGCCCCCAGTAGTGAAGGTGCCCCCATTGGTGGAGGATTCTGAGGAGCTTGAGCTGTCAGTCTCAGTGTCAGTGTGAGTGACAAAGGAGTTGCCTCAGTTGCTATGCATCTTGCAGAAAGGATGCACTCTGCAGCTGGGATCGTCAACTTGCTCTGTAATTGATGAGACAGGAAATACTGCACTAAAACTAGCCTAGCATTGATCCAACACAAACATACTGGAACTACCTCTGTAATGTTGCCTTCATTACGACGAAACATCTTGAGTCCAGAACTGCCTTGCCGACCTTGCATTACTCGACCAGAGAAATCTGACCCGAACTAATAGTAAATTTAACAGTGACACCTTACTGGTCAAGGCACAGTCCAGTTTTGAGCAGCAAAAGTGCTTCTTTGCGTCTGACCAACCATGGTGCCAATTAGACCTTCCAGCATCCTGCAGAGCATCGTGCGTTACATATGCGGGTTTATGCATCTTCTTCGCTATTTCTCTCAACCTCTGACACACCACCCGCTCAATGTATGATCTCTTTTGAGAATTGGCGGCATCTTGCATGTTGTCCTTTCGATGGGAAACATGCAGCCAAGCTTCACAATCGAAGCTGGGAGCTGGAGTGGTCACTTTCGGACAACCCTTCTGCTCTTCGATGCAGCACCTGGAAGCTGTAACTGGAGACCTACCTGGCCTCGTTTCAAGGCGTTTGCATAGCTCCCAGCGTCCGATCGCCCCGCTCGTCGTTAAGGCCAGGAGCCCCAGGCCTAGTTGGCGTCCATGCCTCCCTTTGGGCATTCTTCGGCCCTTCACATCTTTCCACCTGTTGAGTCACGGTTTCTCGTTGCCAAGGCACCAACTCTGCTTGGTATGAGACCAGCTTGTGAAGCTGATGTTCAATTCGAAGTCCTTGGATAAGACTCGATTGGAGCCTGACCGGACTAAGCACCACCCAGTCTGGGCGTTCCGAATCCCAAGCACAAAGCTATGGTGTGTCCTATGGTGTCTCCTATGGTCCTAATGATATATCCGATCCTTCCCAGCCTCTTCCACTTTCAACCTCTTTGAACACTGATTCACAAAGATGGTCCCAAGCGATGCTGTTAAAAGCAAGGTGCACAATCGAAGGGATCGCACGCCTTTGATGCATACTTGCAGCACCAGCCTCGCTTGAACATCGAAGACGAGCTGAGCAGCTTGTATATGTGTACCAAAGCAAACGCTAGGGAATGTATACATTGTTGCGTGTCGCTGCATTGTTTTGTTTTCGAAAGAAAAGAGGCGCTGGCCTTTTTTCAATGGAGACCATTTGTGTTCCCATGCATCAAGACCGTCGTCGCAGTCAAACAGTTCCTCAGGACATAGGGGAAGAAAAACTTGAGAGGTGAGGCCGAGGGCCTGCTTCGACGCTTGTATGAAGAACTGTCCAGAATACCACAAGTTTTTGCTGTCAATTTGTTACAGTACACATGTGTACTATATACATTTTTGTATGATGGAATGCCAGTCCACCACATTCCACCACGGTAGTAGTCGTAGTGGTAGTCGCAGCTGTAATCGTAGTCGTAGCGGTGTTCGTCGTCCTAGTCGTAGTCCTAGTCCTAGTCCTACTCCTAGTCGTAGTCGTCGTAGTAGTAGTAGTAGAAGTAGTAGTAGTAGTAGTAGTATCAGTAGTAGTAATACAAAGAGTAGTAGTAGTAGTAGTAGTAGTAATAGTAGTAGTAGTAGTAATACAAAGAGTAGTAGTAGTAGTAGTAGTAGTAGTGGTAGTAGCAGTGGTAGTAGCAGTGTAGCAGGTAGCAGGTAGCACGTAGTAGGTAGTAGGTAGTAGGTAGTAGGAAGTAGGTAGTAGGTAGTAGGTAGTAGTAGTAGCAGTAGTAGTGGTAGTAGTAGTAGTAGCAGTAGTAGTAGTAGGAGTGGTAGTGGTAGTAGTAGTAGTAGTCGTCGTCGTCGTCGTAGTAGTAGTAGTGGGAGAAGTCGTAGTAGTAGTAGTCGTCGTCGTCGTCGTAGGAGTAGGAGTAGGAGTAGCACTAGCAGTAGCAGTAGCAGTAGCAGCAGCAGTAGCAGTAGCAAGTGGTGGTGGTAGTGGTAGTGTGGTAGTGTGGTAGTGGTAGTGGTAGCCGTCGTGTGGTAGTGGTAGTGGTAGTGGTAGTGGTAGTGGTAGCGGTAGTGGTAGTGGTAGTGGTAGTCGTCGTCGTAGTCGTAGTAGTAGCAGTAGTAGCAGTAGTAGCAGTAGTAGTAGTAGTAGCAGGGGTAGTAGTAGTAGCAGGGGTAGTAGTAGTAGCAGGAGTAGTAGTAGTAGTAGCAGGGGTAGTAGTAGTAGTAGTAGTAGTAGTAGTAGTAGGTAGAAGTAGTAGTAGTAGTAGTAGGTAGAAGTAGTAGGTCGGAGTAGTAGGTAGCTGTAGTGGGTAGTAGTTAGTAGGTTAGTAGGTAAGTAGGTAGGTCGGTTAATTAAGTAGGTAGGTAGGTTAAGTAAGTAAGTAAGTAAGTAAGCAAGAAAGGAAGTAAGTAAGCAAGGAAGTAAGTAAGTAAGTAAGTAGGCAAGTAAGTAGCGGTAGTAGGAGTAGCAGTAGTAGAAGTAGTGGTAGTAGGGGTGGTAGTAGGTAGTAGGTAGTAGGTAGTAGGTAGTAGCAGCAGCAGCAGTAGTAGTAGCTTTAAGAATAGTAGTCAGTAGTAGAGGTAGTTAGTAGCACTTAGTAGTACTCAGTAGTAGTTAGTAGTAGTAGTAGTAGTAGTAGTAGTAGTAGTAGTAGAAGTAGATGTAGAAATAGAAGTAGAAGTTGTAGTGGTAGTAGTAGTAGTAGTAGCAGTAGTCTTAGTCGTCATGGCAGTCACGAGAATGGTCGGCGCTGGCCGGCCGGCTGGCTGGCTAGCCAATCAAGAAATAGGGGGCGCGTTGAGCTCGCAATGTAGAATGGCCCGTTGGATGACCATGTTCCTCTACAAACAGGTGATTTACCACCTCCATGATGCTTTCAAGGAGTATATAGCTTTGTATATATACTCCATAGGCCTTTCCACTTAAAAGCCCAAGCATCTGGAGTTGTGGTCTTGGGAGCTGAGGGACATCCAAGTTGCACCTCAACAGTGTGAAAACGCACACGTTAAAGTTGAGTCTGCAACTTACAATGAGTTTGGAAAGCTCTAGAAACCAGCCCAAATACATAAGAAAGAACAATATCTCAATGTCTTTTCCACGGCGGAAATCGAAGACATGACAGGTACTGACCGCTGGTTGCGAGGATCCTGGATTGATCCTCCCATCAACTCTGCAGAAATCGTCTCAGACACCCACCTTCTCACAGCAGTAGTCCTTTTTATCGCTGCTCCAAGCCTGGGATCGTCCAATCGGCCAAAAGACCCACAGTGTCTCGTCCCACTGCCCCGTTCAAATGACCAAGAAGTCTCCGCCCACCCAGGTTCGTTTCACACCTCATATGCGTGTAGTACAATGCTAAATCCCAATTAGTATGGAGGGAAATGAAAAAGTTGTTTTACTAAAACAATCACCCAGGGTGCTTTACAGAATTCTTGATGTATCTATTCTTTTTGCTATTGTTGCCCTTTAGAATCCTTGCTTCCCTAGAACGACTACCTACCGACCTACCACTGCTGCTGCTGCTGCTGCTACCACTACCACTACCACTACCACTACCACTACCACTACCACTACCACTACCACTACTACTACTACTACTACTACTACTACTACTACTACTACTACTACTACTACGACTACGACTACGACTACGACTACGACTACCACTAGGACTACCACTACCACCACCACCACCACCACCACTACCACTACGACTACTACTACTACTACTACTACTACGACTACCACTACGACTACGACTACGACTACGACTACTACGACTACGACTACGACTACGACTACGACTACGACTACGAC